TCCTGGGGCCTGAACTCTGGGTCTGTGCGCTGTCCTCAACTCTTCAGCTCAAGGCTAGCACTCTACCACTTGAATCACAGTGCCACTTCCAGTTTTGTCTGCTTACATAGTGCTGAGGAATCGAACCCAGGGCTTCATGCATGCAAGGCAAGCACTCTACCACTGAACCACCTTCCCAGCCCAAATTTTGAAGAATCTTTCACTTCAATGATCTCAGCTGGTGCTTAGGAAACAGTGGAGTTTTTTTTTTTTTTTGGCCATAGGACTTGAACTCAGAGCCTGGGCTCTGTCCCTGGGCTCTTTTGCTCAAGGCTAGTGCTCTACCACATGGAGCCATAATGGCTTTTCTGGTATTTTGGTGGTTAATTGGTGAAGAGTTTCACAGATTTTTCTTGCCAGGTTGGCTTGGAACTGGGATCCACAGATCCCAGCCTTCTGAGTAGCTAGAATTACAGGCATGAGCCACCAACACCTGCCTAACAGTGTTTTTTTTAAAAAATGTTTTGACTGCTTTGAGATATAATTTTAATTGCTTCTTATTTTATTCAAATAGTCTTGTGAAGTATTAGTACACGATTATTTTTAATATCTTATTCTTGATCAAGGTTCAATTATAAAATAATATGTCAGTAATATTCTATTATTTTAGGAAGGCCCTTGCCCGTATATAAACATGCTGGTATATATATTACTTAGTAAAATTGAATAGATGTGGAAATATCAAGATGTGATGCATTCTTTTGAAAATCAGTTTAATAGGGGTGAAGAAAATCAGTACATTATATACACGAGTATGTGTATAATGTTTTTATTAGAAGATACATTTCAGTTTTATTTTAATAAATGTAAAAAAAAAAGACAGGTTTTTGAAAATGTGTTCAATTCCTCCTTTGCAGAGGATCAGTGGTCACTTGTTATACCTGACTATGGGCTTTTGTTTTGGGACTAGATGAGCTAAAGTACAGAACCTGGAAGTAAATGTTTCATCATTCTCAGAAAGAAAAGGTTAATTTTTGATTCAGTATATTTTTTGCTTTGTTTTCAGATTAAACCTCATTGTTTTTGCTTTTGCTTCTATAAATATTGATCTGATTTTTTAAATTGTGAAAATAATATACAGAGGGGTTACAATTACATGGGCAAGATAATGAGTACATTTCTTATCAAGCATTGTAGCCTCCTCCTTTGTTTCCCCTTCCCATCCTCCCCCCACCCCTCCATCCAACCCTCCCCCCCCCACCAAAGTTGTAAAGTTCATTTTCGACATAACGACCTGTACATCTCATTGTTGCAGTGGGTCCACCTGTATTCCTGTTTAAACGATTTGGTTTTCCCCTTCCCCTCCACAAATTATACCGACATCAAATACAGTGAAAGCGCAGGGGTTATACTGTGGGGGAGGGACATACAAAGCAACAAAGAAATAATCTTATAAATGTGTTAGAAACAATCGCATGAAAGAAAAAAGACATTTGAATACATATTGACCTGATTTTTTATGAAAACCATTAAAAAATCCAATAACTAAATAGTGAAGACAAAATATTACTCCTTAACCACTGAGATGCCAGCAAGCCAAAATACACTTCCAGTTCACTAAATGCTACACTAAATGCTCCTCTCTTCACACTTGCAAAGAACCACTTTATCAATGTCCCACTCCTTTTGTGTGTATTCATTTTAATTAAATCAGTACTTTACATCAGTGACTCAAAAGAGAGATAGTTTCTTCCCTTTAAAAGTGTTAGTAGAGTACAGTGAATTCAGCAAGTAAATCAGAAGCTTATCCAAAGCTGGCTGGAATGTGGAGGATAGCCATTGCCTTTAGGATATAGAAAGTTAGAAAGTACAACAGCATATGTGTACATTCCTTGTGTGGACGTATATAGTATTTTTCCATCAAATTTAGGTTTTTCAGCCATCTTATTTCTGGCAAAATGGTTTAGCTATATGACCTTTATGATTTGGGCTGTAAATTTTAGTTTCCACATTACTCATTTAGAGAGGTGACCTACATATACTACCAAGCGCTCTATTAGAGGGAGAGGGGAGGAAGAGATTATAGAGGAGGAAGATGGGAAAAGAAATCAGTGAGATTTTTGTTCTAGGTCTTATCAATGGATAGGATGGTGCTTACCCATGTGAGTTGGGGTGGGCCTTTTACCCAGCCTACTGATTGAAATGCTAACCCCTTTGGAAGTACCCCTAAAAACACAATTTAGAATGATTTTGGAGCATCTAGACGTTCTTTAGTTCAGTCAAATCACAAAAAATAACCCTCAAGCCGGTCGCCGGTGGCTCATGCCTGTCATCCTAGTAACTGAGGAGGCTGAGAGCTGAGGATCGCAGTTTAGAGCCAGCCCTGGCAGGAAAGTCCGTGAAACTCATCTCCAATAAACCACCAAAAACCAGAAGTGGTGCTGTAGCTCAAGTGGTAGAGTGCTAGCCTTGAGCTGAAGAGCTGAAAGACAGTGCTCAGGCCCAGAGTTCAAGCCCCACGACCGACAAAAACAGAAAAACTCAAATCCCCCCTTCCTAAATTCTTCCCAAGCTCAACAGTCTTGGCATCTGAAGCTGCAGCAGGACTTCAATAAATGTGTGTTGTGTAGTGGGAGATGTGTATTGTGAGCTTGTTCTGAGGTTGGTTTTAACATTCTGACACCTCACATCTGCAGTAGCAAAATGTGGCTCACAATGACATGGAGAATCTTTGACTTTAAGTATCAAAGGTGCTTATAATAATACTTTTTTCCTTAGAAGTGACAACCTAGATATTTCAAGCCATTGGAAGCCACCATCATGAAGGAACCAGTCTACTGGGCACCAGTGGCTCACACCCACAAACCCTAGATACTCAAGAGACAGATCTTGTGGTTCAAAGGAAGCCTAGGTCAGAAAAGTCCTGAGATTCCCTAATAGCCAGCAAATAGCAGGACTAGAAGCATGACTCAAATAGGAGAGCACCAGCCAAGCAAGCAAGCTGAGTAAACATGAGGGCCTGTTTTCAAACCCAGGTACTGGCAAAAAAAAAAAAGAAAAAAAAAGTCCCAAGTCAAACTCTTTGCACTTGTTTTATTGACAATGCACTATGGTGGTAGGGTGTAAGTAGTGAGTAAGTAGTGACTTATCATTCATTTTTTTTATTTTCCAGTTGTGAGTCACACAGAGACTTAAGTTCCTGATTGTTTCTGGGCTTAGTGGAAATGTCAGAAAGCTGACAGAAATGCTACGCACCCTGATCACCAATAGCTCTGTCAAGGGAAGTATGTGCCATTGTCAACTCTTTGCTTAGCATAACAAAAAAGGAGCAAGGTCAGGTACAAGAGGCTTTCCCTTTTCCAACAATCCAGCACTCAAATGCATCATTTCGTTTTTTATTTTCAAAAATGAACTTACACTTGTTTCTTTTGAACTAAGGAGAGTTCTGGGTAAGGACCTTGCTATTCCTAGCCACTGGAATCTCCCAGTCTACTTCCACCTGTCCTATGGCCTTGAAACTTGCCCTATGGCCTTGAGACAAGGGGAAAGTCTTGCACCAATACTTCCCTGGACTTCATTTGTAATGATCATCACAACTTGTGTGCTGCTCAACCCTCTGAGTATGACTTAGAAATACATTTCCCTCACTCCAAACTCTAGTCCCTCAAAGACTGTTTTTGCTCAGAGAAGAATCAAAGAAGAAAAATATAATAAGTAGGTAATAGGCAAGTAGATGGATGGATAGGTAGATGATAGACAAATTGATAGCTGTTAGGGTTCCAGATGTTTGATGCTGAACACAAGGGAGCTATATGTGAAAAGCATATTACTATTTGAATCTACTTATTAAAACTAATTACTCTTCTTGGTTTCTTATTTCTCTCTTCCTTTTTCATTTTCCTTTGCGCTTCTATTTCCCTTACTGCTCTTCCTTTTCATTCCCTCTCTAGATCTCTTTCTCATTTTCCATTTTCCATTGTGTTCTTATTTCTCTTACAGCTCTTCTTTCATATTCTCTGTCTTTCTTTGTCCTTGTCTTTCTCCTCCCCTCCCCTCCCTTTCCTCCAGTTACTTCTCCTTACATCTTTCACCAGTTTTTGCCAACATAATTTTACTCTATCATTATGTGAAGTCAGGAGTGCAGTGCAAATAAAATGTGTTCTAGAGAATTTAGTCATGTCACACTGGCACATCTTTGGGAAATGTTTCTCATCTCAGGTGTCTGCGCTTTCCCTTTTCCTTTCCTTTCCTTTCCTTTCCCCTTTCCTTTCCTTTCCTTTCTTCTCTTTTTAAAGTTTTAATGTACTGTTGGAATAGGATGGGAAGTTTCTCCCCCACTTTTGATGTTTCCTCAATGTGGAGGGAATGTAATTAGTGAAACTCCTGACCTCCCTTCACCTCTTTATTAGCTCTTTCCCCAAGGGAGTCATTTATTTGATGGGTAAATTTGAAATGTAAATATCTGGGTATGCTCTGCTCAGCTTCCCTTCTTACTCTGGGGAGCTCACAGCTCACAGGATTTTCAGTTGTTCTCTGTTTTCCAGAGCACTCTCTGCCTGAGGAAGTTGGTCCCAGTTGTCATAGGGAACCAGGGTGTACAATTCTGGGATACATTTAACTAAGCTGTTTCCTCCCATCTAGTTTCATGAGTAATGAAGTTGATATTTTAGTTCTCCATATGGAACTGCCTTGTTTCATTGCATGCTTATAGATATCAGGTGGGAAAGAAAGGTACTATATTAGGATCCTCAGAGATTCACAATCTACAATATAGTAGGCATGCTGTTGACTAGCTGTCCCATCAGCAACCTTCTCTACAGATGCCTCAGATGTATGATGATTTTTTTTTCAGGGCCAGAGCATTCTCCTTTAGATTTTTCAATCAAGGTTGATATTCAGTCACTTGAGTCACACCTCCACTTCTGGCATTTTGCTGGCTAATTAAAGGTAAAACTTCCATGAAATTTTTTCTGGATTAGCTTTGAACCTTAATCCTCAGATCTCAGCCTATTTTGATTACAGGTGGAAGCCACCAGCACCAGACTTGATTGTTACAATTCTTGTACTGGAAGTCGTCTACAGGAGGATTTCCCTCTGGTAGGATCTTCAGACCTTGCCTTGACTTGTAAGAAGACTCAGAAGCGTCTTCAACGAGTTATATTCTCAAAAGTAATTAAATGTCTTCTACAATGCTTTAACAAATTGGACCAACAACAAATTGGACTTCTTATTTGTGTAATTTCTGCGCTCCCCTTGATTTAAGATGCCTAATAGTCCATCTGATCCTCAGTGTCATTCACTGTGTCATTATTCATGCCAGCTGCTTAGTGCTGGATCCTTATTGCAACTTCCAGCCTTGTAAAGAAGGGGATTTGAGTTTGGTCCTCTTTTCCTGTATTTTAGGCCTGCCTTTATAAATGCATAGTTGTTTCTGTTTTCTGCTTCTCTTCTATAGAGGATTTTGGCAACTAGTCCAGTTATGTGTCCTTTGGATCTTTGTATTCCCATTGATTATGTGTGTAATACTTCTCAAAATTTAGTAATTATGAAGTACAATGGATCTGCAAGAAAGGGTGAAAAGAAAAAGGCACATATGGAAAGGAAGGCATATTGTGTGGGCATAGAGTATTTCTAGCAACCACTATGAGGAACATACTCCATGCAGACTATTACAGTATCAGGATTAAAGTCTCATGCTTTTCCAAGTCCTACACAGAAATCCTGGGGGTGGAAGTATATTCAAACAAAAGCAAGCCATATAGTGTACAAGGACCTGGAACTAGTAACAATATAAGAAGAGAAGGCAGATCAGAAACACGGACTCACTCTCTCTCTAGAACTTCCTGGTTTCTTTTGTTTTCTCTCTGTTTGATTAATTGTCTTTCCTTTGACAAATTTGTTGCTTTGGTTTATTCCACTTGGGCCAGCCTTCTGAGAGCCACTGTCTCCAAATGCATAGCTCAGTCTTCTGTTTGACTTGCTATTGTGAACTTGATGGAACCTGATTTTGAAATCTCTCTAAATCCCAATCACAAAGTCCTAGGGGATAGAGTTTAATGTGTCTCTTTGATGATGATGGGTAAGTTGTGCTTGTCCATAGTGCTATCCAGAGAAAAAAACAATATAATATCTGAACCATGATGGGGCAGATTATTGTGTAAAGTTTGGCAGAAAATGATTGGCTTCTTTACTACACGGCAGGCCCCTGGACATGACCAAGTTGGAAGTATCCATCTTACCAAGAATGGGCTTTCCAGAACTCACTTAAAAGCAAAATATTTCAACTGAAAATCAGAACTTGAAGGTAAAATGGCTTTTTTCATAATGGTATATTTTCATTATATTCTAGGTAGAATAAGATTGGTTGAAAGATTTCGAGTGACAACTTCTGGTTCTAGAAAGATGGAGTACAAATATTCTTCTTGTTTTCCACTAAGGACAACTCAAAAACCTAGCCATGATATGTAAAATGAGCACAGGAAGATACTGGAAGAAAGAGAGATGGCAGTAAACTGACTGAGGAATAATTCCAGGGTGAGTTCCTTCATATTTCTTTTGCCTCAGTTTTCCTGGACCTGTGTCAGTAAAAGGCAGTAACTCAGAAATATCTAAGGCCCAGACACAAAACGTCCCCTAACAAAACTCTGACCTGTCTATCCAAAGGACCAGAAAACAGGGAGACATGCAAGGCAAAAAGCCTTTATTCAGTAAACAATCTACCAATGGCAAAACAACACAGAGACCATGGTCTCAGCCCCATTTCTGCCAGCAGAGTGGGATCCTAGAGTTCTCTACTTGACTGGTTTTTGCAAGGCAGTCCCTCAGCCCCCTTCTAGGATTAGAAAGCCAAGTGGATCTTGAACTTGGAGACAGTGCTTAGTAGGGAGTTAGAACTTCCTGCCATTTTGAAATCTCTGCCTATAAAACAGGTACTCCCTTTTACAATAACACACCTCTTAAACGAATGCTTTTAGTTGTTCTTTTCAGAAGCAGAATGAGATCCTATTTTCTTTTTGAATCAAGAGGAGTTCTGGGCAAAGACCTTGCTATCCTGTTGACACCCCTTCCCCAGTGACTCTCCCTCCACAATGTGAATGGAGATGGTGCAGGGAGCCAGAATTCCTTTCTTCCTTGGCAGGAAGAAGAGATTTGGAAGTAGGAGGCTCATGCTTCCATTTGGCACTGCCACAGACTCCCTCATCCTGCTGGAGAAAGCCAGTTAAAACAGAAGGATCAAACAGTATCAGAGTCTTACAATATGAAAGGACCAAGTGACCTTAAAAAAACAAAACCACTCATCACAAGCATTTCCATTATGCAACTATTAAAAATATAAATCAGGAGAAATATCAATAAATGCTCATGTGACAGTGTTTAATCTTACAAATGACTTAGATTAGTGGGAAATGTACGAGATTGTAGTTACTGGCTATTAATTTCAATCTCAAAAGTCTTGCCAGAGATGAGTACACAAAACTTTACGAATATTGTGCACTGAGCCTGACATTGTGATAAATATATATATATATATAAAATAGAGCCTTGTGAATGAAGCCTGGAAAGAGACTGACATGAAGGTAACAAAATCACCAAAACATGAACTAATGGCTTTGATTTATGGAATTAAAACATCAACTGTGAACTTGTTACAACGACGAGAAGTACAAGTTGTCATGTCGAAAATGAACTTTACAACTTTGGTGGTGGGGGGGAGAATTGGGTGGGGGAGCTGGGGGAGGCTGGGAAGGGATGTGAAGGGTAAACAAAGGAGGAGGCTGCAATGCTTGATAAGAAATGTACTCATTATCTTGCCCATGTAATTGTAACCCCTCTGTACAATATATTCACAATAAAAAATAAAAATTAAAAAAAATTAAAAAACATCAGATGCAATGAAACCCACATATTTGAATTTTTTCTTAAAATACTAGGAAAACAACATTCTCAGAGGGAGAAAAGTTTTTAGCTATTAATAGAGCAGGTTCTATGTTCTAAGGTATTTTGTTCTATTGCCCATTGAATTAAAATTTTTTAAATGCTTTTTACAAATTTTAAATCCTCAGCTAAGCCTCTAACACAAAGCAGGTGCTCAATAAATACCTGACTTGCATTCTTTTTCCTGTATCCAAAAGTGGCAGCAATATTGAGGATCTATAGCTAGTACAGCATAGGGAAGATTCTAATCTTGATAGTTTTGGTATTTAACATAGGCTTAGGCAGATGCTATTTTGAGCCTCTATTTTGTTTCATTCTGAAATTATAGTAAAAAAATGAATTAGATTATTCTTTTCAATACTATATATTTTAATTTTTACTTTAAAAATATGGATGGTGGGCTGGGAATGTAGCTTAGTGGCAGAATACTTGTCTCGCATATATGAATCCTAGGTTCACTTCCTCAGTACTACATAAACAGAAAAAGCCGGAAGTAGTGCTTTGGCTCAAGTGGTAGAGTGCTAGCTTTGAGCAAAAGAAGCCCAGGGGCAGTGCCCAGGCACTGTCAAGCCCTAGGACTGGCAAAATAAATCAATACATAAATAAAAATCTGGATGATGAGTCGGCTCTGTGTATTTATGAGGAGAGACAGAAAGAGAGAAAACAATGTCTTTCTGATATTCCACAGATGTTCTCACATATTTTGAAGAAATTTAATAGAAAGAAAGTCCTATCAAGTACTTAATTCATTTTGTATTCTCCTGTCCCAAGTCTGACATTCATTAACATCCACATTTCTGTAAGAATATGAAGAGTGATTTATTTGCTTTAAATTACTTGACCAAGTTTTCCTTCTCTTTACTCCTGAGAAGACAACAATGACTTGATATATTTACTTAAAGTTAGGTAATAACTGAGTGTTCATTGAATGGCTGGATGAACACATGAAGGAGAAATGGCCTTTCTATGCTACGGTTCTGCTCAAGGCTATGCCACCCAGGGTGGTCTATTAAACTTTCACTGCTGTTCTCAGGATCAAACTTCCTGAATTCACCATATAAAATTTTTTAATGAGTGCCCTATTTGCAAAACTCCCTTCCAGATTAGCAAATACAAGTTGATAGAGAAATTCAATTACTTTTTTTCTTATAACCTTTCCTTGTATATTCTCCTGTTGAATCTTATGAAAGTAGGAAACTATTTTGCTCTTTCTCTGTGTTTCTCAGCAGACTCAGCCAAAACAAATTTTAAAGAAGAAAATTATGAAAAAATATCCCATAGACACAAATAATCTAATTCACAATTCTAGTTTCATATTGTAACTTCAGAGTTAGTCAGTTAGGCACACTGATTTTTATTAAAAATAGTATCTGCTTTGTATAAAGTTTCTCATGATTTTAACTGTGAAGAAAAAGTTCTCATTGACCACTGTAGGCTACCTAATTATTGAAGGGAGGATAATGTGAGATAATGACACTGAAAACAATAAAAAGAAAAAAACAAAAGTTTTTTCAAGTTTCCATTTAAAGTAACAATTAGAACATATTAGTGACTGAGCCATTTTTAAGTTTATTTTACAAATAAAGGAAATACTTTATTCACTTGTCCACATAAAACAATAGCACTTTAATGTTTCCATATTTCCATTTATCCTTCTTCTTGAATTTATATCATTTATATGATAAGTTAAAATCTGGTTGAACAAGGACTAAATAGGAAAATATTACTATTTATCTAGTTATGTAGTAGATTAGCCATTATTACAATCTCCCAAATATATATGCTCATGATAAAGAATAGTCCAGTAAAACAGGATACCATTTCTTTTTGTTACTCTTCTGTAGATACTCTTCAAACACTGAGCCCCCCCAAACAAACAATGCAAGTGTAGTTTATATGTAATTTAAAAGCTACAATAAGGCTGTGAAGAAAAGTCATTCTTTTTCTATATGCTTTTTAAGGAATAAGAATAATTTTTAATGAGACACTAACCTGCTCTTATCCTTAAGAAATGTCAGTCCTGGGCTGGGAAGGTGGCTCAGTGGTAGAGTGCTTGCCTTGCGTGCATGAGACCCTGGGTTCGATTTCCCAGCACCACATAAGCAAAAAGAAAAAAAAAAGCCGGAAGTGGCATTGTGGCTCAAGTGGTAGAGCGCTAGCCTTGCTCTGAAGAGCTGAGGGACAGCGCCCAGGCCCAGAGCTCAAGCTCAACGACTGGACCCCCCCCCCCCCCCCCCCCCCGCCAAAAAAAAATGTCAGTCCTCTTTACAAAAAGAAAATCTCATCAAAATTTAACAGTACTTTATAAACATTGAAACATTGATACAATTTTCATTTGGGTATATTTTTTTCCAAGACCAGACCACAGTTATTACTGTTTTTAAGGCAAACACTTTGTTTTAACAGTGATTTGTCCTAAGTCTCATTTTTATAAAATTATCATTTGTAATAGTTTTAATAATCTCATTTATAGGAATTTATCACATGTAAAAAAATTCCACAAAAGAGAAAAGTACTCTATAAAGATGTTCATGGCAGCTTTAGTCATGAAAATAAAACTGTGAATGCAATCATTGTCTCCCAGTGTCAAATCATGGCATATAAACTGTAAGGAACATGAGGTTAGTGCTTTCAACAGTAGCCAAAAGAAGAGAGTCTAATCATGGCTCTTGGTCAGCTCCAGTGGCTCTAAAGGTCCAACTGAGGTTCAAAGTTGAGTGAGTCATTGTCCAGTGCTGCCTCCTCTGTTCTGTCTTACAAGAAGAAGAAGAAAAAAGAAAAAGAAAAATCTCACTTGACAGAATATAAGGGCAAGAGTAATTAGTACATTACTACTAGTGTACTACTACTAGTACATTACATTAGTACATTAGTACACCCAATGATTCCTTGACATTTAGACTAAAACCAAAGGGAAACATACTCACAAATATGGCAGAAATGAGTTACACATTGTAGGCACCATTGTTTTCCACCATGTTTTCTGTTAGAAAAAAAGACAAAAATATGACTTGGGTCACCTGGTTCTGGAAACTGGAATAGAGGGATGTAACCTGAAAGATAAAGAAAACTGTGGAAAGATGAGAACAAACCACTTTGAAACCCTAGAGTCTGGCAGTCTGGGTAGGACTGGCCTAATGTGAATTAGGATTTTCAGCAACCTTTGATGAGTGCAAATCACAAGGATCTCCTCAACAGACAAAAGCTACCCAGGCTGTGACTTATATCCAGAGTATTCTTGTAGTTCCATTTGTTTCCACCCAGGTCAGTAAGGCGGTCAGGTCAAATTTGGATTTGGGTTTTACTGGGTACAATTTTCCCAGATGAAATACATTCAATAAATGTTTCTGTCAATATTATTGCCTTTAATAAGGATCCACAGCATAATGTCCAAAATCAGTCCTAAAGTAGAGGGGCCAGTGTGTCATGAACAAATTTACTGTTAAATTAGTAGTAAATATTTCTTTTCATTTATCTATCTTAAGGGGGAAAATGATTGCTACTTTAATGTCATGTTTATTTTGAAGTAAAAAATTAAAAAATATTTCTGTAGTTCAATGAAATAGTAGTCCAAAATACTAATCTATGCATGTTTCCTTGATCTTTCCCATGACATCTTCTGTCCCAAAAGTTTTCCTCAGTTAGGCAACAGAAAAAGGTACCCACTCTTCTCAGTATATGATTATTATAAAAGCAATGCAAACACTAAAAATAAGCAATTTAACCCAGAAGTCAATGTTCAGTTTCAAATTCTCGATTATATATTTGACACTCAAGGCAAAGGACTGTCGTTGAAGAGATTAACGTTTGGGATTTGTAAGAAAATTATTGTCACAAAAAAAGAATTCTGGAAAAATGAAGCATAACACAAGGCCTTAGGCAAGAAGCATAGACTAATGCTGGCCAGAGAGAGGGGGCTACCTGCTTAAGTTAGGTAAGATTAGAGGAAGGGAAAATGAGGGATTCCACAACCATGCTTGAGGGTGCAGGCATCCACTTACAACAAGCTGTGTTTCTTGAGTGGAATCTGGGAATGGGTGACATTCTAGCCTTCTTCTCCTACATTGTGGCACAGGTCATAGTATCTAGGAAAAGAGGACAGCAAGGATATCTAAAATTTTGCCCTGTCCCTAAGATGGTTGCAGAGAGGGCTCTTTGACCTATTAAGGATGGTCTTGGAGTTAGGTGGGAGACTCGATGGCTCTGAGATGCTGCCAATCGCAGCCTCCCAGATAGCTTATGATGATAGATGTATACATTTCCTCTCATCTATGGGTTAAGAAGGGCTCTTGCAAACTTTTCTGCTCAGGGTTGCCCTGACCCATAATCCTCCCATTCTTAACTTCTCAAATAGTTAGGATTAAAGGCATGCATCATCAGTGCTTGGTAGCTCATTTTTTATTTATCTTTTTTTTTTTACCTGAATGAAGAACTACTCTTTTGGACTAGACACTATTATTATCACTATTGTAAGCCCACAGGCATTTTCATATAAGATGAAATAATAGGAAAGAAACTATTATAAAAGAGGACAAAAAGAGTGGTGGTTTGGAAGGAGGAATGGTTGTGGGATGTAAGATCAAATTTATTCAACTTCGTTATGTAGTAGACACAGGTACATTAGAGTGAGCAATGGAAATTTAATCCAACTTCTTGTCCTCTGATAGGTATACAGATTCTTCTTTTGTTTTTAAATGAGGAAGGAGGCACAGAAAAAGAAATAGAGATTTTTAAAAAGTCTGAGCATGGATTAG